GAAGGAGCGAGAACTCAGCCCACAGGCTCTCCCTCGCTCCCGCCTGTGGCAATCAGCTGGCTTGCGGCATTTGGGAGGGAGGGAGGGGGAGCCTGCACGCTGAGTCCTCACTCCTCCCCCCTCCTTCCTGCCTCTAAAACAGCGCAAGCCAGCTGATTGCCACGGCCAGGAGAGGGAGTGGAGGTGCACCAAGTCCTCGCTCCTCCCTCCTGCCCAGGGCAATCAGCTGGCTTGCAGCGTTTTGGAAGCGGGGGGGGGGGGAGGAGCGAGGACTCGGCCTGCCTCCCCCCCTCGCTCCCCTACGTGGCAATCAGCTGGCTTGCGGCGTTTAGGAGGGAGGGGGGAGGAGCCAGGACACAGCGAGCAAAGTAAAGGGGGAGGAGGTGGGGGGAGAAGAGGTGGGTCAAGGGTGGGAGCTTGGGGGAAGGAGTGGAGTGGGGGGGCTGAAGGTTGAACCCCCCGCCTCTGGTGCTTGCAGAGTAAGGGAAGCTGCCCTGGAACCTAATCCCCCCTATTTACATTAATTCTTATGGGGAAATTGGATTCGCTTAACATCGTTTCACTTAAAGTCGCATTTTTCAGGAACATCACTAGACTGTTAAGTGAGGAGTTACTGCACTGAATATAGTGGTCCCATGCTCAGGTCTATTGCCTCTGTCGAGGAGGGTGTGAACAGTCTAAGTTGCAAAATTTATCGGGGTCTTCCTTGTATTTAGACAGCAGAACAACGGGAGATCCAATAAGGCCCAGCACTCCAGCAGGTTGGAGTAGAGCAAGTATTTTTTCAGGCATCTTCTTCCATTCCCTTCCATTCCCTCTATGCAGAGAGCAGGGCTGTCCCTAGCCAACGCTGCTCTGACACCTAGGCAGACTACGAACAGGACGTCTGCTTTAGTCTCCAACAAATGACCATCAGTCTCAGGCTGTCTGCATGCAGGACTGTGACTAAGGACTTCCAATCCCCATTGCCACAGGATGCTGATTAACAGGTGGCAGTGGGTACAGTGTTGCTGAATCACCTGCATTGTGACTGGACGATATTGAGAAAGGTGGGTGCAGCTCCAGGCCCACTTTCATCTCCACAAGCCACGTGCCAGGCTGCTGCAGCATTTGCAATAAACAGGCCGGCAAATGTGGATGTAGGTTTAAGTTCGGGGTTCCTTCTCCTAGCAACTGCCATTGACCCCTTGTGATACTGATGGAAGGACAATTGCATGAGAGCAGCCTACATTTGCCATGTCCAGGTCTGTCTATGGACATTGTTGGTATTTTCTAGGGGCAGCAGCATTCTGCTGCTCCACCACACACTGTTGGTACTGCCATCAGATTGTCCATGACGGCAATATAAGCACAGAAACCTGTCAAATAAGCAGCTCTCCCCCCGGCCCTTTTTTCTGGAGGATATTCCACGATCCATGAGCTGAGAACACGCTTGGTGGCAGATGACACTGCCCATAAGTTGCATAGTAACATTATGGGATGAGTAATAAAGCAGATAGAATACTGAGAATAGGGCTCCTAGCATTTTTTGTTTAAAAGACGTATTATAAGCATTAGAAGAACTTTGAAAACAGTATTACACTGGAGGACAGCTGCTGTTAGTTCTCTTGTCAGTTTTCTGAGTGACTGATAATGGGTATAATGGAAACACATGGCTTGTAGGCTGAAAACTTCCTCCACCTGATGTTTATGTTCAAGATTTAAAAAAATTAAACAGTTCAGTCATTACCAAAAACAGCCACACAAATGTATCACCAGAATGGGTAGGAGTAGAAAGTTCAGGTGGCTGGAAAACAGTGACCAAGCGAAGTGCCTTTGAATTCTGTGTTGATTTGACCATGTTAGGAAGATACAGAAGTCTCACTCTGCATGCTCAGCGGTATAGTTATGATTTAACAGCATTTAATCCATGTTCTAAGCAAAAGAACATTGCACTGTGCAAGCGCAGCTCTCTTAGCAGTAAAGGGTACGTGCACACCAAATGAGGCAATGCTCCTATGCAAAAACTCGGACGCTTACCTTGATTATCTAGTGTGTGCGAGAGTCATGGCTCATTCAATGCACATTGACTGGCACCGTACAGATTCATAGATTTTAAGGTCAAAAGTGACCATTAGATCATGTAGTTTGACCTGTATAATTTCATCCCATTATTATTAAGCCCGATAACTTGCTTGACTAAAGCAAAAGTTGAAACGTATGTGCACAGAATATATAGTTTACAAGGTTGTAGAAAACCTGCAATGGGACAGGCTGGCCACGTAAAGAAAACTAGGCTGAGGTTGGATTCTTAAATACGCAAGTCAGGAAATGCCAGTATGTTAAATCTTAACTCCACCCCACCTGTGGTTATGAATAAGGACACAGTCTAATTACGTGAACATGCTATTTCTAAGATATATTCTAGTTATTTTTCTACCACCTTTTATGGTGCTCAGTAAGGAAGGCCGGGCTCTAAAGGAACTATTTTTTCATTCACATCTTTTGTTTCATGGCCTGGTTGACATACAAGCAGATGGCATACATAGAGTTGCAGAAAATTGAGAGGTGTAACTGATGAAATAAGGAGATAGGCGTTAAGATTGTGTGAAAAACCTTGGCAATTCTGGACTTGAATGCTTGAGAAAAATCAAGGTTGCACAGCTAAGTGTTTTTTAAACAGAATTTATTAATTTTAACCTTTTGGAGGTGCATAGATCTTATCTTCAATGGCAGAGACACTCGCTGGTGTTTGAGTGAAATGTCAGTGTTCCTCCATTCAGTCAACCAGGCTACGGTCTTGCAGTATGCTTTCACCGCTACTTGTCCAAAGGTTCCCTTGTTTGATACAATACACGGGAAAGGCATTGGAAATGAGTTGGTAGGCAATGGTTCTATTTTTGATTTTGTTACACCAACTATTGCCTGACTTAACAACTAAGTTTGCCAAAACCTCAGTCTGAAACTTACTGATTCCTGCTTGCTAATAGAAAGATTTCAGTCCTAGTATACATCAAGTTGAGATGGTGGTTTCCCCGTTGGTTAGTTTAACACATGACCCTTTTAGTTAATAATTTACTCTAACCAGATACAGTTATTAGATTAGCTTGCATCATACTAATGGAGGTTTCTAGATCAGGATTTCCTCTTCTCAAAGACTAACAAGAGCGTAGCCAGTGCATTTGAAGATAAATTGGTACATAATGGGGTTTTATTGTGAAGATAATGAGTCAATGCTGTTCAGATAATTGGGGAGGCTTCAACTGCTAACAGCAGAAGGTATATGGACGTTTGTAAAAACGGGATCTATTTCCACTTTTTGTATGTTTCCAAAAGTGGAGTAACTAAGTTGCAATATATACTTAGAACACAGTGAATTTTAGCAAACGTTTCTTTACTAAAGTCTCTTGTTATAAATTACACAAATAACTTTATAAACAAATCCCCCCAGCTTGCATTTTGTTTAAAGTAATAACTTTATATCATACAAATAAAGAAATTTCAAGTATGAAAAGTGCATTATTGCAATAATACCTCTTTGCAAGTCCAAAAATCTTGGTATAGAATAAAACTGTAAAGTGTAAAAAAGGAGTAAAACAATCAGTGCCATCTATTCATTCAAGAAGTCCAACATATTAAAATGTTGCTTAGTGTGTTGCAGAGGCAGATTTACATCTGGAAGCAACATGTATTTGAAAAGAAGCTCTGGGTGTGTTCATTGTTTTGTGTTAATTTATCTTTTCTAGTTTTCTTCACTTCCACGTGCAGGAATTCACAATCTCTATGAATAGTGGTGCCCTACGTCACCCATTCTGTGCTGCTGCCACTTGCATATTTCCAAATTCGTCCTCATCCTCATGTGTTCGCTTCAAACTTCCTAAAAAGGAAAAAAAAAAGAAGATTAGAGAATATGCTTTAAGAAGTCAGTTGTTATAAGCACCTACTAGGATTAAGATCCCAAGACAGTTTGCATTAGAAACTCAAATCTGCACATACTCAACCTTCCAAAACTTTCACCTTGTGGGGTGAAGCTTTCCGTGCTTGGTCTCTGACTAGTCGTCCTCCCCCCGCACCTCAAATGTTCAGCCATTTGGGTTATAGGAGATGTAACAAAGGCAACACTTTTTCCACTGTGAAACATTCCAAGTGCACTTTGTTACCGGACATGGCTACAGCAAGCAGCTCAAATTCAGTCTTTATTAAAGGATAAGTTAAAGAATTAAGGGTAGGTCTACATTGCCCGCCGGATCGGCGGGCAGCGATCGATCCAGCGGGGGTTGATTTATCGCGTCTAGTCTAGACGCGATAAATCGATTCCCGAGCGCTCTCCCGTCAACTCCTGTACTCCACCGCTGTGAGAGGGGCAGGCGGAGTAGACGGGGGAATGGCAGCTGTCAACTCACTGTGGTGAAGACACCGCGGTAAGTCGATCTAAGTACGTCAACTTCAGCTACGTTATCCACGTAGCTGAAATTGCGTAACTCAGATCGATCCCCCCGCAGTATAGACCAGGCCTAAGCAACTGAGTAATCATATCTGAGTATGTGCAGTGGGCGTGGGCTATTAAAGCCTCACCCTTTTGTCATCACAACATGTGCTCCTTGCCTGACCAGAGGCCGCTGTTGGGACAACGTGAGGGAGGGAAACTGAAGGTAACATTTTAAAAATGCCCAGTTCTCTCAATTGAAACACAACAAAATCCTCCCTTCCAAGCAGATCTGCCTTAGCTTTAGGCCTGGAATATGCTCTGATTATTGGCTGCCCCCCTCCCAGTCTGGATCTCCATGTAGCTCAGAGCTTTCAGCAGGTTCTGGGGATGCTTGCCACAAAGCCAGCCTTTCTCCAGCATATCTGGGAAGTGGCGCATTTTGAATACTCCATCCTAAACAAAAGATTGCAAGTAACCCCTATATACCAATTGAAGTCATTTTCCACCCAGAGAGAAACAGATGCACTGCACAAGTAAGTCTGACCATTGTTGCCAATGGAAATCACTTCACAAAACCAAGCCACATCACTGTCCTTAGGAAAGGAGAGAGTAGTTACACAGAACAGAAGAGACTTCTCACCTGTAGTACCAGGTGGAACAGAGAGTGATCTCTCCAGCTGCAGGGGTGACATCATCTGGATAGTTAATTTTGCTAGATAGATGGCTTCATATTCCTAAAAAAAAATAAGGACATATTGCTACTGGGTATGCATGGCCCTTTGCAAAGTAAGGAGACACAGGACCTAAGTTAGAGAGAAAGCTGCGTAGGGCAAAGGTCAGAGAAGGGTTTATGGGAATGAAGACGTTTAGTAAACAACGAATTAAGCTTATTGGAACACATCCATCTTGTTAGCCCCATTTTTTCTTTCTTGGGTTAATTAGTATGAAACTACAGATTTTCATTTCTTTACTCATGTCCGAAGTTGCTTTTTTCAAAGTTTGATTCTGGTAACTGATTAAAGTGACAGCTCTCTTCTCCTCCACCCCCCATAGTTCCAGATAAATGAGTGTCAGAGTATGCCAACAAACATACTAATTAGTTTAATTTTAAATCACCTGAGAAACATTGATTTTTAGTTGCATAAGTATATACATAACTGACTGGAAAGGAAGCCATGTGCTTTAAGTTATAATCAGGAAAAAATGTTACCTGAAGTTGATGGACGAATCCAGCATTAGGATTAATACAGAATCTTCTTTCTTGAACATAAGTAAATGCATCCCTTAACGAGAAAAAAGATCTCTAGCTACACCAATCTATTGCTACTGAAACATTTTTCTTTAAAAGCCCATTAGAACTAGCCCTTCTGTACCTAAACTAGCTTGGGGGTGTAGGAGTTGGCTTCGGAGGGAAGGGATAGCTCAGTGGTTTGAGCATTGGCCTGCTAAACCCAGGGTTGTGAGTTCAATCCTTGAGGGGGCCACTTAGGGATCTGGGGCAAAATCAGTACTTGGTCCTGCTAGTGAAGGCAGGTGGCTGGACTCGATGACCTTTTGGGTACCTTCCAGTTCTATGAGATTTTATATATAAGAGAGAGACCTATTTTTTATATTTTATTAAATACCTTTAGGCTCCCCCTTGCCTAGGGCCACAAGGTTGGTCTCAAGGCACAGCATCTTTAAACTGCACTGGGTGGCAAAGGCCCCAAGGGACTATTACAGCAGGCAAGAACATGGGCATTGCTACATTGGATCAGACTAGTGGTCCATCTAGTCCAGTATCCTGTCTCCAACTGCTTCAGAGGAAGCTGAAAACAACCCTGCAGCAGGCAATCAGGGGATAATCTGCCCAAAGGGAAAAGTCTCCTCTCAATCCCCAAGAGTTAAAAACTGGCTTAAGCCCTGAAGCCATAGGGTGTACATCCCTGAATAATATTATAAAGAATTTTCAAAGTTAAATCATTACTTTACATTTACAACTAAGTACTTGGTTGGGAAGGCAGCAGTTATCCTAAACTGCAAATGGACCAATGTCCCATAAGTATTTTTTAAATTAAACTTATTTCAATTTCTACAGATAACTTTAAGACAACTAAATTACAACTCAATTTAAATGTACTGTTCTTACCTGTACTTCACCCCAAATGTTTCCATAATGTATGCAATAACTAAGGCAGCACTGAAAAGAAACAAACTATTTAGAAAAAAAACCCACACCATACTGCATATAAAAACAAAAGAAAAAAGGGAAAGGTTCCTACCTTCTAGAAATCCCTGCATTTCCATGGACAAGAACTTTTCCTGAGAAGAGAGAGAATTACTTGTACAGATGGGTAAAAATTATTCTCTCCCAAGTTTACCAGCTTTTCACCTTAACCACATCTATGCAACAGCAAGGTATTTTCTAAAGAGTAATAGGTTAGCGTCTTACAAATTTTGTTTTACTTCACTCTAGATCACTAACCGGGATCCTGTTAGCGTGGATCCTAGTATAGGAGCGAGGCCCTACATTTAAAAACAAAACCCATAGCATATGAATTTGTATTAGTTTCCAGAACACAATCAAATCTGCAGTGTACAGACTGCTCTAGGAATAGATTGGTTATCCAAGTTTGGGGGGAAGGGAAGGAGAATAGTTTGTATTGGGCTTATATTAAAATGTAATGTTAAGACTAGTTCCACTACCAGGTTCATGAGCATGCAAAATGACAAGCACCAGTCAGCCAACAAACCCAAACATTTGGGAAATCCCCACTTCGGTACTTGACAGTTACAAATATTTATGTCCAGATACACACAACTAAGCAAGTGGATTTTTAAAGCTTTGTAACAACTATTAGGATATTAGGTAAATCAAAGAAAAAGTGAATTCAAGTTTACCTCCAGTTTGTAAACTTCCATCAATAAATTCTTTCGTCTATAGGGAAAAGAGTGAGTTGGTTACATGAAGACACGCAGTTCCAACTAGAGCTGTAAATACTAACACCATTTTTACATTTAAAAACTGAAGAGTTTTTACATTTAAAAACTGAAGAGTTTTCACACCGAACATCATTAGTTAGTATGTAAAGAGTCAAGATTCTGACATGCTAATATGTCACTTAACTGTTCTACATACAAATTAGGGGCTTTATAATGAGAATTTTGAGATAGAAAGAAAAGTTTTTAATTATCAGAAATTAAACACATTTTAGTTAAGCATTACCACAAACCAAGTTTGTTATTTATAATCCCAACATGACCCCAAGATACTTCATGACAATTCAATGCAAACAGCCTATGCTATCCAGAAATGAACAGATGAAAAGCAAAATACCCAACACAAATATAATCTGGTCACAATAAAGTACTTACGAAGAATCACATTGCTGTCGGTATATCTACTGTAAAAAGCCACCTTTTCAAATCTATTTTGTAGGTTTCTATTAATCAACCTACAACATGGGCTGCGTGGTCTAAAGAGCTCTCTGGGTCACCAAATAGCGCTGGCTCCAGCTGCTGTTCAAGCTCTAGTCTCTTCACTGCATAAAAGAGCCCAGTAACCTTCATATGCAGCTGGAAATGAGACATCTCTTTTTTGGGTCACTGCTACATAGGAGAGCAAACAAGAGCCATCCTGACTCTCTACCGCCATGGGTAGGAAAGGCATATCCAGGGTAAAACAGTTACAAGGAACAGGGCAGAAAAAGGACCAGGCAGCGCGGCAGCATGGGCAGGGGAATGGGGAGAAGGCAAGTAGCTGCAGAGTAGTACATTGAAGGAGTAAAGAGTGAGGCGAGTAGAGGAAATGAACAAAAAGTGAATGATTTCTCCCCTCAAAGAGAGGGGACAAAGTGTTACTGTGTTTGACTGTTGAAAGTACACACCTCTACCGTGTTACCATCCACGTCAGCACACTGCTCTGTGATCAAATATGGATTAATGATTAGGAAGGAGGTGGCCCCAGGAAACAGACTTATGTGGTCCACACTATGGAAACACTGGGTAAGATGCAAGGCCAGATGTGATTTCCCTCTCCCCCAACTTAATTTGGGGGGGAATTCTCATAAAATGCTTCAATTCTCTCAAAAACAACCCAAAGTGTACAAATTGAGGCTCAGCATTTCTTTAACCACATTTTTCTGTTTAATGTTCTAGAGTGTAACTAGGTATTAAAATGAATTTTTTTATTATGAAAATTGCCTTTTAAGTAGATTACGATATGCTTCCAGAAAACGAATTGAAATTCTGCACCATCCAGTTTCCTTTCATTTTTTTAAACTGACGTGTACTAACATTTGCTGTAAGGAAAAAATCATAGGGCTGATTCTTAGAAACCAAGGTTTTCCAAAATATCTAGTAATTCTGGGTACACAAGTTGGGATACCTTAAATGGGCCTGCTTTCCAGAAAGTGATGAGCACCCACTGAAAATCAAGCACGAATAATAAAATAATAATACCACCACCTCTCTCTTATATAGTACTATTCATCAGCAGATCTTAAAGTGCTTTACAGAGGAGGTCAGTATCATTGTCCCAATTCCGCAGATGTTTATAAGATGTTTCAAGTTAGGCACTGAAAAACTGCAACACCCAAAATTACTAGTCACTTTGGAAAATCTGACTATGAACTGCTCCATTCACAATCCACTCAAACTGACTGATCAAAATACTTACCATAGGGAAAAATCGTATTATATTTTCAACTGGATTATCTGCAATATCCAAGACTAAATACCTGAAATTAAAACAGTTACTGTGAGCATACAACAGTATTATATATTGCCTTTTCTTTAATGGGTACAGTAAATCTGGAAGATAGCTTTGCAACAATGTCATTCAGAAAAGTGCATAAGAAGTTGTACAATGCCATATAAAAGACCTAGCCTCATTTTCCTGTCTCATTTCCAGGACTACAGGGAAAGTAGCACCCTTGTAGGCCGTGAAAAGGTTCTGACTGAATCTGAAGGATCCTATCCAGTTCTCAGCTGGAAGGATGAGATCCAAAATGCAGTGCGAAACCCCTTAGGAATCAAAGATGCAGAGAACCAAGCTGGGTATGAATTTATATATAATGCAGCTGAACAGCTATTCCATATTCCCAGTATTCTCAAGATGTTAAATTGTACCTGAACTCTCTTCTGGGGGCCCTGTATGCCACAAAAAGACTGCATATATTGTCTTTGAATCAGTTATTGCAGCAGGGTTTCAACTTACTTAAACAAACTATACCCAGAACTGACAGATCAGTAATTGGAAGACAGTTGGAGACTCTGAGTGTTTGTCTGGCATACCACAAAGTATTTTGTGGCGTGGTGGGACAAATACTCATTGTCGAGATTATCTGACACAAGCTTGTTTATTTTAGTGAGACATTTTTCAAACAATATAAACATAACACGATTACTTGAGAGGACCATGCTAGCAATAAGGAAAACACCTTTAAAAATCCCATTCAATATAATTAAAGCATAGCTTTTCAAAATAAGATCTTCAATATGGTTTTATTTTTCAGAATGCTGTTATGTTCATTTCTTACCTAAATAATTGTTGGAAGTTTGGTTTAATAAAATTTGCTTCAATATTTTGCCGTATGCATATTACATGGGTTATTCCATGTTTCTGAAGTATAGGTAGCTGCAAAAGATAAGAATTTAGGTAACATTTTTGAAGAACAGATATGTTTTTTATTGTAGCATATTTAGAGTTATAATAAAAAATAACACTATCCTTAAATTATGATCAATGTGAAATGTTAGATTGGGGTTATCAGGCAAGTATATGAAAAGTTAATACATTTAAGACTAGACCTCCAAATATTCAGATAAAGAGAACTGTTTTATCAAATGTAGGGTTATATGAAGAATGCTCCTAGCAGCAGGGATAAAAAAGCACCCAGCAGAGAGGGGATTTAAAAAATGGTTTCCCCACCCCCAGCACACCCTTCAACTTCTCTGAAATCTCTCTCAAGTTCACGTGCCATGTGGTAATATTACTGCTAACACTGAATCTTGATGGAACCAGTCCGTAACAGGCGAGAAGTGATATTTCTAAACTATATAATGTAATTTTGCAAACCTTTTCTCTGCCTCTGGGATATGTTCAAACGGAACCCCTGCCACTTATCTTAGTTCACACTACATAAATATTATATTGACTGATCTGATTTATGGTTATAACACTAACAGAGAAATAACTGTCAATGGCCCAATATCCATTTTCTGAACAAAGTACAAAGGAGCATTCACAGAAATATCTGCTTGCCACAATCTATAAACTCAGATTTTGTTAATTATGGTGAAATCACTGATAAATGCTCATCACCTTTAGGGGAAGTCACTGAATACTTGTTTATACAATCTAGTATTACAGATTCTTTTGTCTGGAGTGAGTAGGGTAGTAGTATATGGCAGAGGCAAATGAATCAATCACTGTAGCGGAGTTCAGGGTCTGACTTCAGGAGTTAACATCCTAGGCATGTGATTACATGAGACTCAGCTTTCATTTGTTTCAAAATAAGCTTTGTGCTCTCATGATTGTCAAGGAAAACTCAAACCTGAACTGGGTGCACCAGATACAAAGGTGTCTACCTGAGTCTGCAGACAGCTTGAAATAACAGCTGAAAGGTGTGAATTGAACTGCCCCATGTATCAGAATGGGGTGCCAATTCCAAGACTCACTGCTCTGGAACGAGTGGGATCACGGCACAGGCCAGGGAACCTCATGTCATAGTGTTCCTATAGCCCCAGATTACCTTCATCCTGCCCGAGTGAACACGTTTTTTGAGTTTGCAAATCTGACAAACCATAGCAGGTAATAAAAGAAATGGACAATACGTCATTCGTACTGAGTTGTTGTAGCCGTGTTGGTCCCAGGGTATTAGAGGGACAAGGTGGGTGAGGTAATATCTTATTGGACCAATTTCTGTTGGCGAGAGAGACAAGCTTTCAAACTACACAGGCTCCTCCTCGGGTCTGGGAAAGGTACTCAATGTCACAGCTAAATACAAGGTGGAACAGATAGAATATATGCTAAGGGACCATTCAAGGTGAAGTGGACCGTTAACGGTCCCTCTTAGACTATATGCTAATCTATCTGTTCGACCACGTATTTAGCTGTGACACTGGGGGTATCCACACAGCAAAGAAACACCTGCAGCTGCCCTGTGAGGGGCTGTTTCATTGCTGTGTAGACTCCAGCCTGAGCCCAGAAGCCTGAGTCAGATAGCACGGGCCAGCCGCAGGTGTTTCTTTGCTGTGTAGGCGTATCCCCCGAGTACTTTCCCCAGACCCAAGGAAGAGCTCTGTGTAGCTCAAAAGTAGAAGATGGTCCAATAAAAGATATTCCCTCATTTACCTTGTGTCCTTTATACTGAGCTCATATGAAAGACTTCAGAGAGTTGTGTAAATATTAACTGTCTGCAATTTACTTTTTCACAATAACGATGTTAACAATGTGCCAAGAGCAATTTTGCTAGAACTTTATTTAGAGGAGAAGATTCTGAAAACCATACCTTGCTTTTCATAGCTGAAGAATATGGGCCTAAAAATAACCCAGGTAAAATTTCCTACAGGGGGAAAAAAAACAACAACATTAAACATCAACTCAAAAAACGTAGTTAAAAATGCATTGGGCTCTCAGCTCCAACTGTGGCCATGGAAATAAGTAATTTATCATGTTGTGAGGGACATGTTATCAAGCGTCATTTATAACAGGGCTAGGAAAAAAGGTTTTGCAAAGTAAGAGACATGTGATCCATAAGAAGAGACTCTTATTTTTGAAAGAGAAATTAAATCCTTTATATGGACAAAGTTCGTTAGATTGCCACACCTTATCCAGCCCTTTTTTAAATAGTGGGTTTCAGTGGAATTGTGAGCTGGGGTGAAGGCAAGTTATCTTAGGTATTCCAAAAGCTCACTTATGTGCAGTTTACATATGCAATAAGTCATTTCACTTTATATGACAGTTAGTAACAAATGATTAATTTGTATCCAGTTATCCCCCCTCCATTCAATCTCACTTTCAGGCATGTCTGAAGATCTTTATTTTATGCAAGGATTTAGCTGAAAGGTCATGTACTACCACTTAAGTTCCCCAAAGGCTGCTATTGGAGAACACCTGCTTCTGAATGAATTTAAGTCAGAAGCAAAGTTCTAGTCTATTTGTAATAAAGCTCTAACACGTACATGAAGGCAAAATACTGTATATTTCAGGTATTGGGAGAGAGTCCAAGATTCCCAATGAATAGTGTTTTTTAACTTTATGTTTGCAACACTGATCCCAGTCACCCTTTATTCTAGACTGTCCACTCTTCTCTCCTCATTCCGCTTCCCCCATTAAAAAAAAATCCCTTCCTTCATACTTAAACCTCCAATAGAACACAACACATGTCCAGCAAAAGAGATTGCTAGCATCCTCCTGCTACATAGTGTAACTACTCTATGCTAACCACTAGGGGTGGGGAATTCAAGAACAATGTAGCATGCACCCTCCCCCGGGAGGCATATCTGCTGGAATACTGCCAGCCTGCGAAGTCAAGTCTTTCATTTGGCAACGCCACGTACTTACTGAATGAGCCACTGGGTTTTGGCTCCAATGAACAAATTAAAGTGTCATACCTGCATCTCTCGTCTCATGGGATAGGTCCAATCCTTTAAAAAATAAAATAAATATATATATACACATACACACACGCACACAATAGGGAATGTGCAAAAAAAAAAGCTAGCAACCAAAACAAACAAGCGCATTGTGAAATAGTCCGATTGCTGGAATATGGATTTTCTAAATTAAGCCAGCTGCCTGGCATTTCATAATCTGCTACTAAATGCAGCTTGGGTCAAAATGAACCATCAGAGCAAAGAAAGTTGTTGGACTCACTAGCAGAATTCCAACCAAAGGGACCAGTGAAATTCAAACTTTTCATGATGAGTGGATCAAGCCTAACCTGTCTCTAAACAGTTTTCTGCATTAGCCCTGGGGGATACAAAATTCTGGTAAAGGTGATGTTTCTATGGCTATTGCATAGGCAAAGGTACGCATCAACAGAAATCTTGCAAGTAACACCATATAATCCATCACCTGATATTAGCTTTGACAATTCCAGAAACTTATTTTATATTAACACAGTTTGCCAATTCCACTGCAGAGTACTGGTAAGTCACAAAAAAGTCATTTCTATTTTTCTTTATCCTAGACGATTGGATGGGTTTGTATGCACACCTCCCTGCATCAAGCCAGAAGGACCTGAATATTCCTATTAGTTAGCATGTCCGATTCCTGCACCATCACAATCCCTTCAAAGTGTTTTTGTGGCCAGTGCAAGGTCCACTACAGAGCAGCCTGCCTTGGCTCATTTTGTACCATCCCCTCAATCCACCTGCACATTCTAGATGCTAGAACCAGCATTCCAAATGCCCACGCGGGTTTTTTTTTTGTTTGGTTTTTTTTGGCACCTTACAGAACAACTGCCAGAGCTGAGGTTTACAACCTATAAACACAGTCTGTCCCACTCCTATTTGTTTCCTCCCTGACAATCCACTACCCCTTCCTGCTGTTCACTCATTCATTCCCTATCCCATGTTAATTATCTCCTGCTCTCCTCCAGTTACTGGTTAATACTTTAGGGCCCAATTAGGATCAAGGCCCCCTTATGGTAGGTATTCTACCAACAAAAAGAATTTACAATCTAAAAAGGCAATGGGGGGAGGGCAAAAGAATAAAACATATATGCAAAGAGATCAGGGTGATAAGCACACCTGCTTAGTTTTCCACAGTGTGTGTGTATTTACATAAGCTTTCCTCAATCCGCCTTCCACAGAAGCATTAATAGTTCCGTTGTTAAATTTATATGAATTCTTCCCATTTGCCCTTCCAGGGCTCTGCTGATATCCCTTTTTCCCTTCCCACCATCCCCTTAGAAAATTAAGAGGTTATATAAAAACATACTTATTGGACAACTGCTGACTGTGACTTGAAGTGTCAGGGTTACAGTAGCAGTTTATATTGCAAGGAATGGGAATGTAACCCCTAGATTTCAGAAGTGGGAGTAGTAGCTTCAGGTCCCAAAATCACAGTATGGCCAATTCCAGGAATTTGAGGAAGCCATAAATACTGTTAACATCGTAATATATCACTTCCCTCATTTAGATACATGTCTTAAAACAAAAATAGGTACTCAGTGAGGCTTTACTGACTAAATGATATTTAGTAGGATTATATGGGATTTTGGTATCAGAGTAAAAAATTTCCCTAAGCCTCTGGATTGCAGAATTGAATCTGGGACAGCATTTGAGGAAAGTTCAATTCAAATTAAAATATGGAACCACATTTTAAGAAAAATTCTCTCTATTACTGTGTGAAAAAACTACACAAACACAGAAAATGGATTGCAGTGAAATTGATTACACAGAAAACACTGCCAAATGCACAAAGTAAATACATTAGTTAACTTTTAAAAGTTATCTTCCAGTTACACTAATCATGCATTACGTGTAATAGAAGGTAAATTCTATGAGAGAAATGTGATTTTTAGTTGCTTGTGTCCTTTGTTTTGAACAATTGGTGATCAGCTTAAGGATTTCTTATTTACACAAAAAGATGGGCTTTGTCCCTAGGAAAAGAAAACGAGTCTTACGGCTTTCTAAGTCTTGCCTCACTGATTGTACTAGTCTTATATTTGTTTGGAAATGGAATTTGGAGAGAGTTTATTATAGTACTTTGGATAGTTAAAAGTGTGTGAAAGTGTGGACATATTGATAACCAATATCTTTCCTTTGATATCTAGGCAGATTGAAAAGAACCTCCCCTTTTTTAAATTTGCCCACACACAAATTTGCCCTAGTTTAGTTAAACCAGTGAAAGTCCTCTGTGTATTCTTATCTCAGTTTAATTTAAACCTGTTTGTAATCAATTTAAGCTAATCGGAAATAAACCTGAATGAAACCAAAATGAGAACATCCACAAAGGCTTTCCCTTTGGTCTAACTATCCATATAGACAAGGCCTTTGATTTATGTATGCTCTTGGTGTCCTGGGAACCTGTTGTACAAACACACTTGTGCGTTTTGATAAACACTGTTTGTTTGGTTGCCTTGTATTGTTAAGTTTACAAGATATAGTCTTAATTTAAAATATGGTGAAAATGCATACTGAGAGTGCATACCCTTGTTAGAAGTTTGGTCTAAGGGATTACAACATTAAATATACAATCAGTTATATTTAGGCAAGACTGAGTCCTACTGCTTTCTAATTTTCTTTTCTTAGGGACAAAAAAACACTTTTTTGTGGAAGTACTTAAACAGAGCATAAACAAGAAAGCAGGCACAAATCATAATAGGGGCCAAATCCTGCGGCAGAAAATGTAGTTGTGCAAAAAAAGCAGGCAGCAATTAGCCATACACAGTCCAGGGAAAGAAAATTAGGGATGACCTGAAGGTATTCTGATGGAGAAAAATGTCTCCATGTGCTCTCCAGATATCAGTCTCCAATGTCTTTGGAAAGTCTTACAGGTACAAACAGGGAGGATTTGATTTAAATCACTAGTCAGGAAGACTCGATTTAATCACGGATTTCTACATAAAAGTGCATTCTTGTTGGTTATACATATTCTTCACAATTCAGAGATAGATGAAGGTTTCATTTTTAGAAGGGACACACTATACATTTTTGAAGTGATTTATTTTGAAAACTTTTCAGATTAGTTTTACAACTAGATCAGAAAATGAATGATTGTTTGATTATTTCATTTACCAACGGTAACTGAAGCAGATATTTATGAAGTCATTTGGGGAGGTGAATTATCTCCAATTCAACAGGTTAGTCATTAATATTTGGAGGATTTTCTTGCCATGCTGTATTAGGAGGAGATCATCACCAAACAGACATTTAAATTGTTTTATTTAACTAAAACAACGTTATGTATTCTTGATTTTTTTCTTCAACAGCATCTTTGAGCTATAAGTATCAGAGGGTAGCCGCGTTAGTCTGGATCTGTAAAAATCTGTTAGGCCTTGGCTACACTGGCGCTGTACAGCGCTGCAACTTGCTGCGCTCAGGGGTGTGAAAAAACACCCCCCTGAGCGCAGCGAGTACAGCGCTGTAAAGTGTCAGTGTAATCAGTGCCTGCAGCGCTGCACGCTCGCTCACAGCACTGCAACCTACTCCCCTTGGAGAGGTCGAGTACATACAGCGCTGCGAGAGCTCTCTCACAGCGCTGGTGGCGCGACTACACTCGCGCGTCACAGCGTTGCCGAGGCAGCACTGTGAAGTCCCGAGTGTAGCCAAGGCCTTAGTCTTAAAGGTGCCACAGGCTCTCTGCCTTTGAGCTATAAGGTATCTTAATTAAAACTACCTTTAGATAGGTTTTTTCCTCAAAAAGCATTTTATCAGAAAAATCCAATTTAAATAAAAAATCTGATTTTTTTATTATTATTTTTTAAATCATTGATTTTTATCCACCCTGGGTACAAAAGCCATTCTCCATTGGTATCTCTTTTGGACAGTAGGTATCAGAAAGATGCTCTCTCAGATTAAGTGCTTCCTTTACCCAAAAGCACATGATTAGTTACTAGAAGATTCTAAAATAAAATGCAATTATTATTCTGGTGGTTTAATGATAGTTTTTCAAGTCTTTTGCACTCAACAATACAAGATTATTCAGTTGCTGTATAGAAAGTATATGAAAATATCTTTGTCTAGATTAAGCCCTGGCAGATGTCTCACACCAAGGAATTCATCCCATCATCAGTATTTTCTCCAGAGTGACAATGCTCTTTGCATACTGCCTGAGATACCGAGCAGACAAACAATAGTAAGCATCTCCTCTCAGATCAGACAGAACGTGGGAATTTTGTTATGAAAACAAACTCTACTAAGACATGCCAACTGGATACAGTAATACTGCTAAACTTTGTTAACCATGTGGCAGATTATACCCAAGTAGTGAATGTAACTCAGCAGCAGATGAAATCGTTCCTAGCTATGGTTTGTAAATCACCAAACTGTAGAGTGCCATGCAAAAGGTGATGAAGAAAAGCCAAACAAAGAGGTATTGTTCATCTATAACCGGCTATCCCAAACTGGATTGTGGCTCACAGGCACAGTTGTTCAAAGAGAATCTAGGGGGACTTTCAGGAGTTGTGAAAGAACTAAAATGAATACACAACATAAATCCTGCACACGTGTGTCCCCAAGAACCCCAGTTAATGGCTCAGTGTAGAGTGAAGAATGTGAGGGAGTTTTAAACAGTGTCTGGTGTCTGCCTGGATTTACCTTATACTAAACAGCACATACACCATTAAAAACCATCATGTATGAAAAAGTGCCAATACTCACACATGCGTATGCACCGTGACAATACGTCACTGAAATGGTAAATGTTTGCTTTGATAGCTAAGGCCTACGAGCGCATACAACCACACTGCATGTGATTCAGTCTTTACTGGAGCTCAGTTCTGGCTGAGGAGCAAGAAATCCATAAAGATTAATCTTTTCTGGTCCTGTTGCAGTCAAAAAATTGTGCCTGCTCATGATTATGGTTAGGAACACTGGTGGCCTATGAAACACTTTGTATTCTGGATGAGAGGCACAAGCTCCAGAAAGTGGTGGAAAACCTGGTGTGTAATGTAATAAGCCAACTTTATATTTAAGCA